CCGGGACCAACGGCTCAGGCCGTTCCTGAGCAAGCTCACAGAGACATTAGGCGAAGGCCAACAACAAGGGGGCCAGGGGGTCGGAGAAGGGGCAGGGAGGTTTTGGATGGGGCAGTCAAGAGACGGGGGGGTCAGGAGTTCGGGGAGGGCTTTCTGGGGTGGGGTGGATAAGATTTTGGGCAGTCAGGGTACAGGTAGGGGATACGGTCCTAGGGGGCCAGTTAGGATGGGGGGGGAGGGTCCCAGGAGGGGGCAGTCAGGGGACAAGGAGCGGGGGGGAGGGTTGGAAATTCTGAGGGGGGTGGGAAGTGGGAGGGGCGGGGCTCCTCCCATCCTCTTTTTTGCTTGCTGAAATATGGTAACCCTAAATCTGGGGCCTAAATTTAGGCACCTAAATCCAGAAGTCGGTACCTAAATTATTAGCCTTCTGTTCCAAGCTGTGGCATCCTGATCGCTGATATTATAATCAATAAGAGCTCCCAGTACTCAACATCTTTGAAAACCTGGCCACCTAAAGACAGATTTATCTGCTGAACTTTCTTTGAACTTGTATGCTGAATGCCTGGGTGACCTGCTCAAGCCACAGAGCACACTGTTGTCAGGCCTGGTGACCTGTTGGGTCCTGATCTGTGCTCAGGCCAGTAGTTCACAACCAGTGGGACACAGTCTTGAAGCAGGTTATGAGAGGGTTGCAAGTAAGTTGCACTGTACCATCTGAGGAAGCAGCAAATTCACTAGGACCCAGGTATGCTGGATGCGAAGGAGTAGCATGCTCCCTTGTCCCTCTGTGTCTCCTGCCTCCACCCCAGCTCTATACACTCCTGTCCATCATCCCAGAGCAGATCCTTGGCCCCTTTCTTCCCCACACTTGTCCATTGCGTGGCTCCAGGCAGAAGAAGCAGTACTTCGAGGGGCTTTGGAATCTCCTTCCCTGCCTGTTGAACCAGCGCTGCCCCAGAACTGAGGACTGTGTGGGTAGAGGACAACGCAGAGGGGAGAAGAGAAAAGCACCACCAACAAAAGCATCTTCTCCCCACAGAAGCATCATCAACCCCCCAGCCCAGCACCCCTCATTGTCAGACAATTTTATTTGGCTCACAAACCCCAAAGACTTCTGAGTCACTGTAGTCACCTTATGCCGCGCTCTGAATGGTGCAGGACAGACGCAAGACTTCAGAGTCATTCTCTGATTGACGACATCTGTGTCGTTCCCTCCTATTGGCTCAGCTTTATTTTCTTTCAGTGGAAGATCCTGGCCGGTTTTCCTTCCATTCCTCCTCTTCGATAGCACATTATCAACTGTGCGTGAGCCCAAAGTGCCGAGTAAAAACATTAGCTAAAATGACAAGCCTGGAACACTGAACATAAGAACATAAGTTTTACTGGTGAAAAACACTTGAAGATCTGCCCAAGCATTTATATTAAAGTGCAATAAGCTGGGGAAAGCAAATCCAAAAGTCCATTTAAATATGTCCAATCCATTTCCAAAGACTCTTGGAATCCCAGCAGTGATCCAACGGGGAAAAAAATAAATCACCAGCTTCCAAACGCACAAGCCACAGGGATAAGCTCCTAGTGAGAGGCGAGGGGGAGAAAGTAAATGCTAACAAAAGCCACTTCCTTGGACACCTCCTGCAGGAAGGATAGCCTGAAAAGCAACAGACTGGGTTAAATCAAAGAATGCTAAGCTGCCCCTGCATTCAGCTCCGACGTGGTCACCACTCCCGTCATTGAGGGGCAATTCTCCCTTAGCCAGGGAAGTTCTGTGCAAAGTTCTCTGCACTGCTTAAGCACCA